CAATTAGACTAATTGGGGGTGTTGCTATCATTCCTTTAATCAACAGTTTGTCGTCTGTGCGATGTAGCAGTACGGTGTGTTCGTAAATCGACCTTATCCAGAATATGATCATTTGGAGATTAGTCATCTCAAAGTGTCCCTGAAAATACATAAGTAACATAATTCAAAATGAATTTAAGACAATTTTTTTTATAACAAGAGATTATTCAGTTAAGACAATTTTAATGAGGATAAACAAATACAATATTTACCATTAAACTCTAAAACAATGCAATTAAGTAATAAGTTTAGTAAGTATAACAATCCTGTAATTATATAATTATAAACCATAAAACAATAAAATTTTAATATGAATACAGTACCGGTACATTGTACAAAATGCATCTAAAACCAATATCATCTACACATTTAACTATGTCAAGCTTTGTTTCTTTCTGAGAAAGTTAATTCCCCATCAAGTGGTTTATTTACTTTAAGAATATCTCTTGGTTTTGCAAAATCTTCCAAATCATCCAACAAACTGAAAACAACTCCGTAAGATGACCCATCTGTGAGGAAAAACTGAAAATACAAATAGTAAATATGCAAATAGTATATGATTAACACAAAAAAATATATCAACTGGATGTTTGAACAGGCGTTTTACAAAAGGTATTTTATGATATTTGGTCATTTAAATAGAACGGCAGCATGATTTGATAAGCATAACAACCTGAGTTGCATCATAAAGCACTGTTGATAAGATACTATGCCGCTTACTATTTTGCATGTCATTCAAAAATTATCTGTGAGAGTTGAAAAAAAATCAAAATTTAATTGCTAATTTGATATTTTTTAAATAAAATAGAACGAAAAAGATGTGTTCTCTTCGACAGACGAATATTATTATGCACGCTATTAATATAAAAATTGATAGTATAAAAAGTTTTGAGGTTAAAATTATTTAAATTTGTGTCTCAATTCATAAAATATTTTATTATTGTAAATGTCTTAAAATATTATTTTGAAGTTCTTCCCGATTTTACCTCAGACAGTATTTTGATAGTGGAAATTGTTTTAATGACGTCTGAAAAACAACCTGGTAATTTATTTTTAACAATATTGGTATCGTATAGTTTTAATTAATCACTTACCCGGTGAGTAATGTAGTAAGTCATTTGACCGGCATAGTCCCATATGCATGTTATATCACTCGGTTCAAAAGTCTTGTTGACAATATTGTCAATAACCTTCTTGCGTAATGTCATAAGCTGATTGGTCGATACTCCCGTGTCCTGAGATACAGGTTTTTCTGAAATAATTGAGAAAAAACATTCATAGATAGCTCAACATCAAAGTGGTTGTAAAATAACTAACTGGCTGTGTTGACAGATGATGATGGCAGTTGCAGAGATTATGAGAATGGTTGTTGATAACGATGACGATGATCATGTTGATTATGTGGTGAATGATGATGATGTTGGTAACGAAGATGACGACGATGAATATGGTGGTGATGAAGATGATGATAATGCATAGTTACCAACTGTCTCGCATCGTGTGGGACCGTCCCGCATTTCAAAGTGATTTTGGATGAAACACGCATATTGCGGAAACACATGCGTGATCCTAAATTTGTCACGCGTTTAACACAAGTCTATGCGTGATAACGATTTATCACAAATTTATTTAAAATATTGGTTGTATTAAAACTATAAAAACGGTGATGCAGTAACTTGAGTCATGAGAGAGTACAGTATTTCCTTGAAGGCCCTACTTATTTCACTAACGAGTTACTAAAAATTGATCAGTAATGAAATGTTTGTGTAGGTCTACATAGTTCGGGTGCTCAAATTAAACATAGGCCTACATTGAAACTCAAATTGGCTTTATTAATAATATTTTTGCTTATGTACCTGTATTATCAACAAACACTTCCTGAAATCGTTTTAAAACAGCTTATAATGCTCAGATAGTCGGAGCGGCCGGGGAGGTGGGGGTGGTGGTTCTCCTGCCGCTTGGACCCCTCCCCCGGTCAACTGGTATAGTTACTCACGCATTTCAAATCTCTCAGGTTGGTAACTATGATAATGAAGATGATGGTGGTGAAGGTGGATGCTTAACAACGGTTGTTGTTATAGTTCAATGATGGTAGATGTTGATCTTGATAAATGATGATGATGCTATTGATTGTGATGATTCTGATGATGATGACGATGAAGGTTATGCTGGTAATAATGATGATGATGATGTTGATAATGATTATAAAGATCCCTATAAAGATGACGATGATGATGGTAATGCTGGTAATAGTGAATTGTGGTAGAGTTGCTTTAATATAATGATGATGACTATTTACAGATGTAGTATTATTATTTATAGATTATTATTATTATTATTACTAATATCTTTAGCCAGGATGACACAATCATTTTAAAGAAATGTTTTTCATTGTGGTCCTGGAAAAAAAAATAATAATAACAATAATACTATTAATAACGACAATAACAATCATAATAACAACAATAATAAACAACAACAAAAAAATAATAATGATAAACAAAACACAAAAGAACACACTCAGAGTCAGGAATTAATAATCATAATCATCATTTCGAAACCCTTTCCCTCCCCAATTCCACTTTTTTTTTTATAGATGTAGTGATAGTGGTAATGTTTGTATATTAGTCTATAAAAATAATACTAAGTACAATATTATACCTGGGTTTTTCTTTGGATTTTTCGGTGGCAAAACTTCTTCTGGATATTGAACCTGTATTTAAACAGTAATTCATTTATTTCAACGATTTAAAATACTTATCTATCTTCGTTGAAATACAATACAGCATAGCAATTTATAAATAAATAGCGTTGTTATATCTCCCAAATGTTGCTTTAACTATAAATAATTACCTGTTATATAATTTACTGTATAGTATTAAACAATTTCCTATACGATGTACTGCCCCATAAACATTACAGTATAAGTTAATTACATTACGGTATGTATCTTTACGTATTTTCCTCTGTAAATGACAAAAAATCATAAAAACAATTTTGAAATTAATTTGCTCGTTTTGCAGTAACATAATACATATTAACTTGAGCATAGGAACAGGCCCTATTGACTTTAACAAATGTGTACTCTGATTTTTATACTACTATAATAATAAAAAATATAAAAGCACTTCCAGTGTTTCTATCAATTTTTGCTGTAAAATTGGTAAATAGACCTATTTCTCAAATACACCATTTTCCATGTTAAAGTTGATAATTGTTATGTTACTTAAAATGAGCAAGTTATTCTCAAAATGATTTTTATCATATTTTCTGGTATTTTTCAGGGGAGAATACATTTTTAATACACATGGTATTTTTTAAGTAAGATTCGTATATTCAGTATTTTTATTATAAATGATCAAAATTTTCATTTGGTTTCGAAAAAAGTATATAATGTGTTTGTTATTCTTTATAAACAAACCGAAACGTCATAGCTGGTGATATCTGGCTGATAGCCAGAAGAAACGTCCTGGAAAGCTAAACAAATATTGATTTATTTATAAAAAATAACAATCACATTATTTTTACTATACATATTGCTACATTGATTGTATGTTTATGTAGGATTTGTTTGAATATTTTTAAGTTGATTAGGGCAGATGGAAATATTTGTGCAAATTGTAATACAAAATAGGCCTACATTCATTTTCCTACTCGATAGCAAATAATTCCTCTGGCTTTTAACTAAAAATGGAAATAAATGTTTTAGAAAACCTAATGTCGAGATTCTTAATAACGTGTTTTCAGAATAAGGAGTTACAAGGTATAGGCCAAATGTTATTCGCTCATATATTCTCATTGGGACATTTTCTTCTCAAGGTATTGCGTAACATGCTAAGAATATAATAGTATCTTTGTATGGAGAAACACCTTCACTGGTGGTAAAGATGCAGGGGTGGCGCCAACCAAATCGATTAAATAAGCCTTTGAAACCCCTAATTCGTCAACATTTTAATCGACGATCGACCACGCCGACTTTGCTTTACTCGGGGACATTTTACCCCTCGGTGGGGCACCGCCCTCCGTCGGGGACCTTGGACCCCCGGTTATGCAAATCCTGGCGCCACTCTTGTAGAGATGATAATAT